TAGGTCGTGGATAGAGAGATGTCGTATTGGCAATCATATTTTATAATGATACTACACATCTGTTCGTCAGGTTGCTGTCTAGTTGAAGTATATTCATTATTTAACAGAAATAACAAACCATATTGTAATTTTTTTTATAGAATTATTCAATTAGAAAGTAACTGTTTTGATTAAAGCTCTTTTTACAATTTTACAAATTAAGTTAACCTCTTCAATCTACGACCAAAATAGTTCCAGATTGTGATCATTTGTTTCTCTCTTCTTTCTTTTCTTGTGTAATAAAAATCCTTAATCTGGACAAACAATCTCGTCATAATGCTGTCGAACGTTGCTAACGTCGATACTTTTGGGGAAAAACGCACTTTAGCGTGTTCAAATGATTAGCACAGACCATCGCACTTTAGCGTATCAAACCATCGCACTTTAGCGTAGGCCATCGCACTTTAGCGTAGGCCATCGCACTTTAGCGTGACCATCGCGTTTTAGCGTCCCCATCGCACTTTAGAGTCCTACACATATATTGTCATACCTTTTTTGAAATCTTTCTATTTTTCCACCACTTTGTAGCATGCAGAAATGAACTTCTCGGGATTATTGGGTACCGGTTCTTAATTCAGACATTTTAATCTAACGATTCCTGCAAATAAAAAAAAACGAATGCATTTTCTAAGACTGCTATATGTAGATGTCGAAAATCATCTTTTATTCTGTATAACAGACAGAATGGTTATTCATCAGTTTAGGGAATCATCAGAACAAAGCTGACAGTTATTTATTTTTATATCTAAAGCCAGTTCTTTAATTCGTCTTTTATGTTGAATATTAAAATTTTGGATATAACAGTTATGAATATGTGACACATATAATATATTACGCTGCATGTAATCGTACAAAAACCCGTTTGCGCACCTAATAGTAAATATATATATATATATATATATATCTGGCATGAGAAAATAACAAGGAAGCCATCGAACTATATATGTAGATTATTCTAAGTTACTCACTTCTTTCGTTTTCATGTGGAATAGAAGTCCCTTTTCAGTTCTCTTCTTTATGTGTATCCATTCTTCGTTTAACCGCCTAAATCGTCAGCCGATATCTGTTTCCGGTAGTTGGTATCCTGGTATATTTTTTTAAACACGAGGTGTTCAAAATTTCGAGCGATTCGATGTCAAAATGCATATATGTTATAACGTCAATGTTCACTGACGTCATTTACGCCGATTTACAAATAGTTATGTTAGAATGTATGAATATTACAACTTACACACTGAGGATTAGTAATTACTTAACGATCATTGATTAGTTGTTGTTTGCTCAGCGATCTGTCTTTAATAGTTTCATTCAATTAAATGCAGTCAATAACAGCAACAACAACAACAAACAACAACAATTTTTATTTGTCAATTAAGACGCCCCGCGGAGCAATATTATATTGGTGATTAGTAACTGTGATATTAAATCAAGACACTATGATTAACGCAATTATTAAGAAAGAAATAATAACCTTTAGTTAGTGTTTTACGTAAGTACTAGTATCAAAGAAAGAAATTTTAAACATGACAGATATCGCAAATAGACCCATTGTAAGAGTTGTTGCCTATGATTGTTGAATTTTACCATTTTTTGCTTATATTATAAAAGATATAGAGAAATTAGTAAACATCTTCAGCAAACTAAGGTCTACAACAAGGTTAAACATGGCCGAAATCGTCAATTGAACCCGTTGAGTAGTTATTGCTCTTGTAAAGTTGATTTTACAAATATAGTAATAGATAGAGAGAAACTATAAAGGTAATTACTTTCAGTAATCTATGATCTACACATAAGTTATCAAAGCCGAAATCGTCAATTGACCCCTTTTCTCAATTTTAGGATTTTTGGCAGAAACCATAGAGAGACAATGTAAATAACAAAGGTAAAGCACCATCTACAAATAAGTAAATTTCGACACAAATTGTCAACTAAATTCTTATATCAATTATTGCCCCTGAATAACCATTTTATGATTTTTTTATATAGAAACTATAATAGAAAGAGAGCAACAATATGGCAAAACTATCCGGCTATATATATACAAGCTCTACAAATATGTCAATATGGTCAAGTTCGTCAATTGACCTTAAAGTTTATAGGAATAATTGCCATTCAAAGAAGATTTTACACTATTTTGTGCAGAATCTATAATTAATAGAGAGAAACAGTAAATAGAAAATGCTCAACACTAAAAGATCTATACATATGCATGGCTGAAATTGTCAACTGACTATTTATATGAGTTATATGATTTTATCCATTTTTAGCATTTTTGTAAAAACAAAACCCACTATTAGATCTATGCAAACAAAACTGATTACAATGAATGAAGGTAAAATGAATTGCAAAATAGCAAAATGGCAAATCTTGCAATTGGAGCCTCTTGTGCATACTTTATCAGTGAGACCCTTTTAAATAAGTTTATTCCTGGATACGTTCTATATTTATACTCACAAGCGTACTGTTGTAGACTGTAAATATACCGGACGCCTGACGCGTCCGGACGCGTTCAAAACTTGTTCACCGAATGTTCAATATTTTAACGTCATATATTCATGCTTAGAGACGTGTTCAAAATTTTTACGTATGTGTTCAAAATATTAACACCTGTGTTCAGACGCAGTGAACAACGGTGTTCAAGTTCTGTTCTAAAAATGAAGATAGTCGTTTGTCCGACTTTCTATCCTTCCAATTGGTAAATTCAAAAAGAAATTCTTTAAAAAATATGAATGTATACGCAGGATGTTGATCTTGTGAATTTTTGGTTAATATTTTAGTAATTATGAAATATAAAACTTCCAAGCTGGCATATATATGTATAGTTTATGAATATACAAGTTTTACTTATAAGTGACATAACTATGCATATCAATGAGGCCTGTTATGATAATACCGTAATAAAAATATGTCGATGTTTATCTTATTTTATGATCCGTTCATTTTTTTAACATTACATGTTCAATTAGTGTTCAAATCGCTCGAAATTTTGAACACCTCGTGTTAAAAAAAAATACCAGGATACCAAATACCGGAAACAGATATCGGCTGACGATTTAGGCGGTTAAACGAAGAATGGATACACATAAAGAAGAGAACTGGAGAAGGGACTTCTATTCCACAGGAAAACGAAAGAAGTGAGTAACTTAGAATAATCTACATATATAGTTCGATGGTTTCCTTGTTATTTTTCTCATGCCAGATATATATATATATATATATATATATATATATATATATTTCCTATTAGGTGCGCAAACGGGTTTTTGTACGATTACATGCAGCGTAATATATTATATGTGTCACATATTCATAACTGTTATATCCAAAATTTTAATATTCAACATAAAAGACGAATTAAAGAACTGGCTTTAGATATAAAAATCACAAGGTAACAGTCCACCGAAACACATGGAACCCAACCAGGACACAACATTTAGATTGAATTCCATCGGTCCTTGCGTTCACTCCAACACACAGTGTTTTTTTATGGACTGAGAAGTAACTCGAAAGTGAATAAAACCAACAAACTTCGAATCAAAAACGTTACCACGTGGACACCGAAGAGAGTTTGATATTACTTACTGACAAAATGTCATTAAGGATCACTATGGCACGTTAATGTGTGTCAGTCAAATAAAACATATCACAAAATCTGTAGTTATATCAACAATGTAGCTGATATCATAAAAAGTTAACATTGAGATGTTTACACTACCACCAGTATCACCTCATCATTATGACCTAATATATTACGAAACGAGTGTTTTCAAAGTTATAAATGTGTCTAGATGTTAGCATTTTTCCAATAAAATCTGTCTTAATTATCAAAAATGATGTTTGTTTGCTATAAGAATATTTTCAATCATTCATTCGTTCAATTAAGTGTTAGTTTATTGCTGCGATCTAAATGATACGGCATATATTGTCAATTTGCGTTGTATTATGCGCATAAAAGTGTGACTCTAGCTGTTGTATTGAAAGCATTTAAAGTGGTAGGTGAATCTAAATGTTGCACATTATAACTAGTCTATCTTTCATGAAATGTTTAGATATCATCGAGATCATTTAGACTGCATCTATATATGGTTTTTGTAGAGTTTAGTTGTTGTGTGTTTAGACTCTTGGAGTTCAGCTTGTAAAATCTCATGCACTACATATATTTAACAATTGATTGTTGTAAGCATATCTTTGACTTTCACGAATAAATGGACGAAAATAATGTTGTAATGTTTGTGTTTGTAGTCAGGTGTATACATATTCCTATAAAAAGTACAATTCTGTTCAAGATATGTTTTTGCGACGGCATCCACTAGTAGTACAGAAACTGCTGTCACTTCGTTTCAATGTTTTGGTTTTAGTCAGATGTATAAATATTCCTATAAAAATTACAATTCTGTGCACAATTGTTTTTACGATGGAATCCACTTATAAAAGTGAATAGAATCTGCTTTCACTTCTAGAGCATCGGAGTTATAAGCCCCGGTGTTGAAGTTCTTCGTGAATGTTGATTGGTGATTGAAATCACATGCCACTTGTATATATGTGTGGTGTTTTGTGGACTGCCTTTATTTTGCTGGTCAGGGTATTTATGTTGGGTTTTGGAATACCCTGTTTTGATCCTCTACCTTTTTTGTTAGATTGATATTACTATAATTGTGGATATCTTTTAATGATGGTTTTTTCTGTAACTTAGCACACGGTATGAATTTAATTCGCTTTTGAAGGTCATACGGTGACCTACAGTAACTGTTGTTTACATCCCTGTTCTTATGTCTCTGGTTAATAGTTGTATCATTGGTAATCATAGTTGTTTATTATTGTAGCAGGAACAATTCTGCTGGAGATTCGGGGATGCGGACCACAGCTTGTTCTAGTTTCTGAACTGATTAAACTGAGACGATGGATGCCAAAATGTAAAAGCGCGATCTAAATATCTATGTAAATGAAAACCAAAGACAGCGAACACAATATATAATTTATTCAATAAGTACAACTTTTGTAATGAAATCCAAAAGGTTAAGCAATGGAGCATTCAATGACTTCAATCCGTATTAAGAAGGCATAAATGGCAGATGCACTAACCTTAAAGGGAGGTTTGGATAAGCACAGCTTTCCTAGGTTGGACTGAACATCAGTCCTCAGACAATTCAACATAACAATTCCAAACCAGTTACTAGTATATAAAATATATAAGTTTCTCAAAGAAGGTTATAAATGATTTGCGACGATGCAAATACTAAACTTTAGAATATAAGTAAATATCTTAAACCAATGAATTCAAAATATCAACATCTATTCAATTTAACAAATATATATCGAATAAGCTTCATGTAAATTATCAAATAAAGAAATTTATAGTTTTAAACAAGGGAAATAACAATTACATAATAATACTGTCTGCCATATTATATTACATGACGGCCACAACTATAGCTGGTGGCCTTGTTCAAAGTATCTGTATGACTTGGTTAAGATATCGTATGTTATCGTATTATGCCATTGAACTGAACTTATGTGATTAAAAAAGTGTGGCTGTGTTGAAAAGGGGAAACACAGATTCCTAATGAACAAACGGTTGTATGTTAATCAAAACAACAACCACTAATAAAATTAAAAGCAACAGCATTCACCTATTGGTACCGTCATCTGCATTTGCAGGCGTCACTTATTTAATCAAATACCCCAAAATATATTAAAGAATTAGAAATTGTGTTTGAAAATTATTTAAGAATCTCTTGATATTTAAATGATATGTGTGTGTGTGTTTATTTCAATAGATCGAACCTGTCTTAAAGGATCGCGCTATTAAGGATAACTTTATTCGTAGTCAGAGTAAAAGAGCTTTACAAAGCGATTTCTATAATTGTTAGTTATTTTTGTAAATGCATCCCAAAACTTAACTGATTGATTGGTTAACTGTTGGTGGTTTAAGCCGTTTTCAGCACTGATAGCTGTATCATGGCGGCAAGTTTTTATTGGTGGAGGATGCAGGAGTGCCACAGGAAACAACAACCGATTGTCGGCAGGAAAACTGGCAATTCTAGTGAATTAAGTCTGGAATCGGACGCGCCTACTACCTGCGAGGGTCAAACACACAACTCAAGGTAAGTGATACTTAAGTTAAATGAACTACTCAGACGGCCACCGATTTTGCTTATTATGGGTTATCTATTAGAAATAAAATAATTTGTCTTATATCATCTATTACATGAAAAAATCAACGTATTCAGTGCGATAGAAAGTTGACAAACTATTGCGTTTATTTTCAGGTAAAACATCATCAAGTGATGAACTTGATTCTTTGTGTTTGAGTAAATGTTGTATGATATTTAACATAGATCAGTCAAATCGGGTCATAATGTGTTTTGTTTCCTCAGCAAATTTTCTTTTTTTAGCATTCTTTGAACAGCAGGATTTCTCTCCTGTTGAAGCTGCCCTCTCAGGATAACATTTTCTTTAGAAACTCTAGAAATGGACTCTTTCAACTTTAGATTTTCCAAATAGATTTCATCGTAGTTTTTACCCTGGTATCTGAAATATAATTAAATAGTATAACCAAATATTGCACAGAAACTATAAATTCAGCAATCATCTGCAAGCTCTTAATTCTATAAATTGACCAACCTTCTGGAAGGGTAAAAATTCTTACTCCATAGTTCCTGCTTTAAACGTAACATCTGTCGCCTTTAGTTTACCATTCTATACGAAATTTAAGTAAATTCATTTTGCAATTGCCCGCCAGTCTCAAAATCTAATGCACTCTGGGTAAATATTTTTCAAAATCGTACACCAAAAAGTAAACTTAACTAATTAAAAACCCTGAAACGGTGAACTAGGCACATATTTTTCAGATTTATAACTATTGTAGCTCATACCCTTCCAGCTCTTTTGACAACTTTGAGTTTTCATCGGTTGACTTTGATAACAATTTCTGCATCATTTGAAGTTCTTTCTCCTTCTCTTGTAAAATTTTCTTCAAGTATTGTGCTTGATGGCTGCTGACGGCCGAAGATAATCGTGTACGATCGGAAGTCTTCGGTCTATCGAAACTGAAGTATTTCGATCGTTCTTTGGCTGAGCCGATTGGTTTTGGTGATGTCCATACTGCGCCCTCTGATTTCGTTGTGTCGAATGGTCTGCTGATGAAAGATGGGTTTCGAAGTGTTACCTGTAAATACAAATTACATTTTATAAATTGTAGGCGTTCTAAGTGTTTTTGGCTTATCTCACCAGGAATGATCCAATCCAACATTAAGAAAACCAAAAATCTATAAGTACTTGAATACGTTTTCTGCTCTTTGGTCAGGTCGTTGTCTTTGGAAACATTCCCCGTTTCCATTCTCTGTTCTATGTTATGAGCTATATGACCAAAAGGGACATAAAAAGTAGCCAAATCTATCACAGCCTTCTAAAGGTTGCAGTCTTTTGTTCCAATTGCTATTTTCAAATGTATCAATTGCGCTAAAATACGGAATTATTTTGCGATAAATTACCTGTACACATGTTTTTCATAATTATTTTAATAATTCTTAGTAAACTATGTTTAACTTATCTTTAACAAGAAGAGGAATTTATGTAATAAAGGAGACTATCGTTGCTTAAAAAATTCAAAGAAATGAACAAACTAGAATAAATTATGCCACTTTGTTTAGTCATGAAACAAAGCATTTAGTCTTGAAAAACGTTTCCCAAGAAGTTATCACCGAAGTTGATTTCTTTTTACTTTGTTTGAACACGTTGGCGTAAAATTAGGTGGGTTCACTCCTTAAAATATTTAGTATGCCTTCGGAATATACAAATATTAACAAGCTTGTCATTAACGGCCGGGTACCAGTCTAGTGTTAAATGCAAATCTATGAATTTCAAAAGAGTACAAGAGAAGTGGCAGCATTATACAAAAAGGGAACTCAGCAAAACAGGCTCTTCTCAGAATTATACAAGAGGAGAACTCAGCAAAACAGACCCTTCTAAGAATTATACAAGAGAGGAACTCAGCAAAAGAGACTCTTCTCAAAAGTATACAAGAGGGCAACTCAGCAAAAAAGACTCTTTTCAGAACTATACATTAGGGGAACCCAGCAAAAGTATACAAGAGGGGAACTCAGCAAAAAAGACTCTTTTCAGAACTATACTTTAGGGGAACTCAGCAAAAGAGACTCTTCTCAGAACTATACTTTAGGGGAACTCAGCAAAAGAGACTCTTCCCAGAATTATACAAGAGGGGAACTCAGCAAAACAGACTCTTCGCAGAATTATACAAGAGGGAAACTCAGCAAAAGAGTCTCTTCTCAGAACTATACAAGAGGGGAACTCAGCAAAAGTGACTCTTCACAGAATTAAACAAGATGGGAACTCGGCAAAACAGACTCTTCTCAGAATTATACACGAGGGGAACTCAGCAAAAGAGACTCTTCTCAGAATTATACAAGAGGGGAACTCAGCAAAACAGACTCTTCTCGGAATTATACAAGAGGGGAACTCAGCAAAAGAGACTATTCTCCGAATTATACAAGAGGAGAACTCAGCAAAAGAGACTCTTCTCAGAATTAAACAAGAGGGGAACTCGGCAAAACAGACTCTTCTCGGAATTATCATGAGGGGAACTCAGCAAAAGAGACTCTTCTCAGAATCATACAGGAGGGGAACTCAGCAAAACAGACCCTTCTCAGAATTATACAAGAGGGGATCTCAGCAAAACAGACTCTTCTCAGTACTATACAAGAGGGGAACTCAGCAAAAGAGACTTCTCAGAATTATACAAGAGGAGAACTCGGCAAAACAAACTCTTTCAGAATTATACAAGAGGGGAACTCAGCAAAACAGACTCTTCTCAGAACTATACATTAGGGGAACTCAGCAAAAAGGGGTCTTCTCAGAATTATACATGAGGGGAACTCAGTAAAAGTGACCCTTCTCAAAAGTATACAAGAGGGGAACTCAGCAAAAAAGACTCTTCTCAGAACTATACATTAGGGGAATTCAGCAAAAGAGACTCTTCTCAGAATTATACAAGAGGGGAACTCAGCAAAAGAGACTCTTCTCAGAATTATACAAGAGGGGAACTCAGCAAAGCAGACTCTTCTCGGAATTATACAAGAGGGGAACTCAGCAAAAGAGACTATTCTCCGAATTATACAAGAGGAGAACTCAGCAAAAGAGACTCTTCTCAGAATTAAACAAGAGGGGAACTCGGCAAAACAGACTCTTCTCGGAATTATACAAGAGGGGAACTCAGCAAAAGAGACTCTTCTCAGAATCATACAGGAGGGGAACTCAGCAAAACAGACTCTTCTCAGAATTAAACAAGAGGGGAACTCAGCAAAACAGACTCTTCTCGGAATTATACATGAGGGGAACTCAGCAAAATTCCTCTTCTCAGAATTAAACAAGAGGGGGACTCGACAAAACAGACTTCTTCTCAGAATAATACAAGAGGGGAACTCAGAGACAATGTATGTAGAAATTCAGAAATAATGTTGCATTGTGAGAACGCCACTGAGTTACATTCGAATTGGCCCAGGCGTTTATTGCCAGAGCACTGAGAATGTGCTACATGATTTTCGTGAACGGACGTTGAAAATTGGTTACTGTGAAGATAAGCAAATGTGATGTAAGCAGTCCATTTGGGCCATTCATTTCTAACTTTTAATTTTTGTTTTCTGTATAGTATGCAAATAAGTCTTATCCGTGATATTGTTTACATATCACAGTTTAATAATTCCCTATCCGCTATTCAAGAGATTATGAAATAGTCGTATTTGAAATATATATGACAAGTTTATGCGGTTCTGGTTTGGGATCCTTCATTTCTTTATTCTTCATTGTTTAGGGCATTTAACTCTAGTCCGTATTCCATTTTACCGCTATTCTCTATTCTTTTTATTTCGGCACCCCATTATTCTCTATTTTTTATTGTTTTGGTCTAGTTTTCTCTTTTCTTTATATGTTTTGTCCTGTCTTCTGCTCTTCTCTCTTCTGTAAGGGAGCTACCATTTGATTTTTATGGGAGGGGGACTAGGATGAAATTTGAAAAAAAGGTAGGACAGGAGTTTTGAGTTAAAAAAAGGCAGGTGACAATTTATGTAAAAAAAGTCAGGATAAACTAGAATAGAGTGAAAAATAAAAAGACAGAACAGAGATTACAACTAGAAAAATTCAGGACAAAATTTTTCATCCTAGCCCCCCCCCCCCCCCCCCCCGCCCCATAAAAATCAAATGGTAGCTCCCTAAACCCCATTCAGACACTCGGTTATGACTCTACCTGAATGCTGTCGTCTTTATCAACGTATGTCATCTTTGAGAAACTCATTTTATTCTTCTGAAAAATATTGTTATAATATTCATGCAAATAGAACTACTGTGGATTCATTAATATTCGTTGGATACCAATTTTCGTTGATTTCGAGGGAACATGGGAACCACGAATTTAAATGTTCAACGAATAACAAATTTTCTAAAGGAATGTATGCAGACTTTGACAAAACCACGAAATTAAATATCCACGAATATACAAGTTTTCCTCAAACCATGAAAATTCGTACCCACGAAAATAAATGAATCCACAGTAAATCTATTAATATTCTACGACAGTTTCATATTTCAATAAAAATAAATATGGTATGAACTGTGTTAATTTACAATGAAAGGGAGATTACTCTTTTTTATTAGCATGTTTTTAATTTTAGATCATGGTGGTGAATGTAAAATAGCAAGTTTGAGCTTTTCAAAAAGCTGTGGACTGCTTCGCTCAATCCTAATTTAAAGTAATACGTGTGCATGTGGTTGTTGATTCAGTATTGGAAATGTGGTAATTTTAGATATTGATTGATATAAAATGGATGTCTTAGACTTGGAATATCAATTGTTGTATATATATATTAAGATGAAATTTTCTAAAATTTTAAACTGGCTGTTCAGTGTTATACGTTATACACCCATGCTTTTAAAAAAAATCCGATTTACTTGCTGAAATTTAAAACATTTACAAAACACGACTCTCGAGGTGTGCCTCGCAGGAGGTGTTCCCAGATTGGCAGAAGTTATAAAATACAGATAATGCATTTTTGTAAACATTGTATAGGAACATTGTTTAGCTAAACAAATCGTGCATATTACAGATTAACAAAGCAAATAAACAGGTGTTAAAAAATTGATATTTCAATATTGAATTTCAGTGTGCAATATTTGCATAATAAAACGAACATAAATTAATAACACTTGATCGGAACTGAAATACACATAGTTAATTTTCCGGCATTTGATGCCTTATCCTGAGACGAGAAAAGTCTGTAATTCTTTATCTCATTTAAGCCAATAGCTGTTGCTGTATCTCAGCCGAATCATATAGCAACCAATCAGAATCTTTATGTGATAAGTAATTATTTCAAGATGGCGTGTATATCGACTGAAACTAATAGCTCCTCACCGTGATGCGAAGCAAAAATGTGTATGAAACTATATACAGTGGGATTTCCAGTGACACTAGAACAATAGAAAAGTTACTCTTCTTATGAAAGAGATAGAAAAGGTCAAAAAAAGGAAAGACAATTAACATAAAACTCGATATGCATAGGGATGAATATCTCTTAAAAACACAAAACCATAATATAACTTTTATACAACCACTATAAGTAAAGTTAAGTATATTTTGAAGCTGAATTTGTTAATAAATGATTTTTTAGTTGCCAAATATGCTGCTAATTGAACAATTTACTGCTCAACATAGGGTGTATACAAAAACTGCCAATCTTGACTGCATATTTTTCTTTTTTTTTGAAAAAAATATATATCAAACCTTAATAATGTAGCGTAATGAGGATTCAATTTTTAACGTGTTCCATAATGTAGTTTCGCCACAAGAATTTTTCAAAGTTGGGTCATTTTGTCTATATGAATGTCGGTAAATTCGTATGATCGAGCACACCGATAAGTGTATCTTTGGGACAGCTCGATATAATGCAATCAATATACGTGACAAATTACCTAATGTGATATGTATTGGAATCATCATAATATAAATGATCAACATATTATGTTTGAAAAACATGAGTCCTATAATATAAGACTTTGAAGGTTCGTATCATTTACATTCAATGTTTTTTATCGGATTTTTTTTACTATCAATGTAACCTCGAGGTTCAACATTGATAGTAAAAAAAAAATCCCATAAAAAATGTTGAATGTAAATGATATGAACCTTCGAATTCTTATAATATAGGACTAGACAACATGTGATCAAAATTAATCACGTGTGTTAAAGAACAGACGTTGCATTTTTATGATGTATAGGTATGCGCATCTTCCATATTCAAATCTGTTTAAAAAATTAAAAATTGAAATACTTACACACTACGCAATAGTTTTGTCTTGGTTCAAAAATCATGAGTATTTTTATTCGGTATTTCTTTGATATGAATATACTCATTTCTCCAACTTTGATTTATGTTTATTGTCAGTTCATGTAATATGTTGGAGTGTGTGCAAAATAAAAATATCCACCCGAGTCAAATTAAAAATGCATTAATTTTTCTTTGTGTAAAATTGAACAACTTTTGTAGGTGTCGATTTATATGTTAAATCTTAATTTATTAGTATATGAAAAATGTTTGACTCGGACAAACACAAAAAAAACCCTTGTTTCGAATTTAAATGGTTGAAACCTAAGGGGATGCCCACTGACTGCCTTAAAGGGAGCCGATCCATTCCTGCTTTAGTGATTTCGTATGTAATTAACACAATTTGTTTCACACTGAAAGGGGCAGCCGGACACCCTCCACCCCCCCCTAATTCAGACTCTAATGAAAGTTTGAAATCAGGCGGGTAGCATGCGAGGAGCTATTTTTAGAAAAACTTGACTAGTTCTCTGACGTCCAACGACTGTTTTCCCAGACAAGCACGGCCCCAGCTTGTCTGGCAAAACAGCTGTTCGACGTCTGGGTAATCTCGGACTATAACTTGGTATGTTGTATTAATAAACAATTTAAATCTTTATTTTGTCATAAACTTTGTGAACTAAAATGTCATGCAAACTGAAACCAAAAGCCCTTCCTTGATAAAAAAAAATGTCAAGTGTGCCAAATGTGGAATTAAGACGGAAAACAGATCGTATCATAATATGAACAAGCCAGTGGAGATTTTAAGGGAGTAACAAGACAATCATAGGTTATGATTATTGGACCGTCTCTGTCCCAGTTGTAACATTGCTTTAGAATGAAATTGTGTCAAACCCCAGGGTCCTCCGTAAAAAAGAGAAAGTCGGACACTTGTCACATATGGCCCAATATAGCTTAAAAAATTCATGAAACTTTAGGCTAAAATTTAAACTGCGGCCTTATTTTAACTGTCATTGATGCCAAAACATATATGTTAATGTTCCAAACTGAATATACAGATGAACTTTCGTGGGTCTTTCCTTTCCCTCAGTGACTAGCATTTTCTTAAAATCACCTAGCCAGTTCTTTTGAAAACATACTTCGATGCTGGATCGAAAAGAAATTGCCAAATTGAGACACATAGAAGATGGCCTCTTAACAGTCCAACAGCAATGCATTAACTTTAGGAAAACTCATTTATTTCATCTTGACATCTTTCTATACAAAGCTCAGTTGCTCATAGATATAAGAAGATGTGGTATGAGTGCCAATGAGACAACTCTCCATCCAAGTCAAAATTTATAAAAGTAAACCATAATAGGTCACAGTACGGTCTTCAACACGGAGCCTTGGCTCACACCGAACAGTAAGCTATAAAGTGCCCCAAAAATTACTAGTGTAAAACCATTCAAACGGGAAAACCAACGGTCTAATCTATATAAAAAACGAGAAACGAGAAACACTTATGAACCACATCAACAAATGACAGCTACTGAACATCGGATTCCTGACTTAGGACAGGTGCAAACAAATGCAGTTTCTTTATCATTAGAAATTTCAAACATGAGCATCAGAATTTACTTGTAAACAAACCACAAACAAAATATTGAAAGACATGGTTTTACTGACAATGGAGGCAACAATATTGATTAAAGAAATCTTCAAGATTTTCAAAATATTACCGACAAAAGCCTTCAGTTGGGCAATCTTACTGTAATCTAATTATCTCTACTGATAAATAATGCAACACTAATGACACATTTAAGTTTAGGAATGATTGTATTCACAGAGATGTACATTTCTTTGCATTTGGCTTTTCGGAGTCCAAATTTGGAATTACAAATTGCTGCATGAAAGAGACTAGTTCCACTTTTTAGCTCACATGGGGCCCGAAGGGCCCCATGTGAGCTTATGCCATCACTTGGCGTCCGTCGTCGTCCGTCGTCTGTGTCTGTCGTCGTCTGTCGTCGTAAACTATTTAAAAAATCTTCTCCTACTGGGCCAAATACCTTCAAACTTTAACTAAATGTTCCTTATTGTATCTAGTTTATAAATTGTATCCGAAGTTTTGATCCATCGACAAACATGGCCGCCATGGCTAAAAATAGAACATAGGGGTCAAATGCAGTTTTTGGCTTATATCTTAAAAACTAAAGCTTTGAGAGCAAATCTGACATGGGATAAAATTGTTTAATTGGTCAAGATCTATCGGCCCTGAAATTATGAGACGAATCGAGCAGCCCATTTTTGGGTTGCTGCCACCGAATTGGTAGTTTTAACAAAATTTTGCAGTTTTTTGTTATTATTTTGAATATTATTATAGATATATATAAACTGTAAGCAGCAATAATGTTCAGCAAAGTAAGATCTACAAAAAAGTTAATATGACCAAAATTGTCAATTGACCCCTTAAGGAGTTATTGCCCTTTAAAGACAATTTTACACAATTTGTTCATCAAGTTTGCTAACATTTAAAAATCTTCTCCTCTGAAATGCAGGTGAGCGATTCAGGCTCTTGAGAGCCTCTTGTCTATGCATATGATCGTCATATCATTGTACTTGAAAATCATTCCATAAAACATCGGTTTGATATCCGTTCAATGCCGGAAGCTGTCTATCACCCAGCTGAGAGCAGTCCTCAGCTAGTAGTTTTTCTGACACAATTACAAAGGAAAACTGGCTACAACTTGCACTGGATCAGGCACTTGAATCTTACATCGATCTTGATGTTAAACACTTAGTTTAAAGGCCCCTCCGGAACTGTTGGATTTTATGACAGTCTTCCTTCCATACAGAACATCGCTGCAAAAAAATTTGACCATTCAATTAGGTGATAATAATATTATTTGGCAATCCAAAGAGAACCTGAAAAATATTAGACCAATGTTTGAACAGAGAAATGCCCCCCCCCCCCCCCCCCTCCCAAAAAAAACAGCCATTTTGCTAGACAATGAAATTTAAAAACTAGATAGTTGCATGTCCCTTTATCTTTTGTTTCAGTTAAAAGTAAATGTAGATCAGATCATTGGCTCTTACCAAACTTTTAAACCGGTATTTTGAGTTCCAGTATTGTGATTGCCAAATTTAGCTGCCCCCTGAAAATGAAATGGTTGTTACCACAGATAAAAATAATCTAAATTTCGTAATATTTTCACCCAACATCTACCCCCCCCCCCCCTAATTTGTTCAAGGTATGGTGGTTTGACCCCTTTTCGGCTTTCAGTATATCATATTGTATATCTTTAATAAAAAATACATAAACTAGATGAATTTCTAGTAATTTTCTACGATATTCTTTATCATTTGAAAAAATACCATGCATCTGATTTAAATTGTTTACTATGAGAAAAAGCGCGCCTTCTTTTACTTTAATTTACCTCCCTTTATTTCACGTAGCAACACAAATAAAAAAACTGCCAATCTTTGCTGCATATCAATTTTTTTCCCCGATAAAAATATATATCATGCTACATAATCAAATTTACAAATTGGGAGAAAATCAAGGTGTTTCAACCATTGGATAGTATTAAAAAAAATAATGAAAGGATGGCATGATTACAAGTTTGAACCCTGACGACACTGAAAATCGAAAATTCACGCATTTGCTTATCATATGAAGATACGATGAGGTGGTAAACTTAACAATTAATAATTTACCTGATTCATTATCATATTCACATTATGTTGATACGTCTTAGTTCGTCTGTTCTAGCTCATTTCAAACGAGCAAAACAATTACAGCATCATCCGTTTTTCTTTACCGATCGCCTCTAGTCAGAAGAGCGCACTGTTGACAGGGGAGGTAGTATTTTGTCACCAGTTCGCGCACTGTATACCGGTATGGCATTTTTAGAAAAATAATAAATGATGTCATGATTGGTGTGGTCCCTAAGTAAAAGGTGTTTTGTACTAAACTGTACATAAAGTACATGTATTACATGTGTACAGTGCTTTCTGTTTCATCTTATATACACCATCATATCTGCGGTTTTCAAATGAAAAATTCGTTTAGACAGACGAGGGGCGTAAAGAGGGGGGGGGGGGGTATCTGCACGGAAGAACGCGAAATAAAATTGCAATTTCACGATGAATGTACAATTAAAAATTAACTTGCACGTTGATCTTTTTACTGATTTCACGAAACACGGTGAATAACGAACTTTTTTCGCGGCTGCACGTGAAATACAAATGGCAGAACACGTTGCACTAAAATAACCCTTTACCACCCTCTTAGACTGTTGCGTGGTAAAACATTGTACTACCACATTCAATACTTTTAAGTTTAGTGAATTAAGAACAAATATGTTGTGTCTAGAATGCTAAACATGGTCTCAATTGACATTTTCCCATCTATGAATTTCGAAGAAAGGAAAATGTGTGATTCCATATATTTGATAAATTTATATACATGTATACAGAAATATCTTGCCTTTTAAATGATTAAACATTGAATCGTCATTACAAAATAAATAAAGAAGGATTTTTCTTGGTTTTAACATGTACCGTCATATCTTACCGTAGCCCTTACTAATGATGCGACATCTATCCGTGGTCTTGTTGTTGCATTACGAATACCAAGGAACTGAAAATAATATTTAGATACAGCATAAAGATACATGTAAGTTTTTTTAAACTGAATTAAATTATCAAATAAGATAAGGAAAATTAAAATTCTTTCTTTTTAAATATTTTTTTCATCTATTAATGTGTTTCAATTTGCCTTAATATATGGGATAGGTTAACTTGAGAGTGCAAAAAGGTTGAAAAAAGAGAAATTTCAAAGTGGTTAGGGCTGCAAAAAAAAAATCGTATGCTTGAAACTTTTTAGGTATAACCCCTCAACACCCCCTTTCAATAGTTGCTGTATCTGCCTCTGTTAACACTTTTTGTCTCAGAGTCGAGAATGTTGGAAAAGAGACCAATGAATGCATGCTGTATTTAGCGTAAACAATTGCTTTGTTGATTAGGACAGTTTATGGAACTGATAATATTGTAAATATAAATAAGAAGATGTGGTATGGGTGCCAATGAGACAACTATCCATCCTAGTAACAATAGATATAAGAAGATGTGGTATGGGTGCCAATGAGACAACTATCCATCCTAGTAACAATAGATATAAGAAGATGTGGTATGGGTGCCAATGAGACAACTATCCATCCTAGTAACAATAGATATAAGAAGATGTGGTATGGGTGCCAATGAGACAACTATCCATCCTAGTAACAATAGATATAAGAAGATGTGGTATGAGTGCCAATGAGACAACTATCCATCCTAGTAACAATAGATATAAGAAGATGTGGTATGGGTGCCAATGAGACAACTATCCATCCTAGTAACAATAGATATAAGAAGATGTGGTATGAGTGCCAATGAGACAACTATCCATCCTAGTAACAATAGATATAAGAAGATGTGGTATGAGTGCCAATGAGACAACTATCCATCCTAGTAACAATAGATATAAGAAGATGTGGTATGAGTGCCAATGAGACAACTATCCATCCAAGTAACAATGTGTAAAAAGTAAACAATTATAGGTCTAAGTACGGCCTTCAACACGGAGCCTGAGTCAACTATACTGGTATGAAGTTGTATTGGCGCATTATATTTCCATGTAGATCATTTGTATATGGTATTAAAAAATTTTAATCAATACTTTATTCTAATTTCAACGATTCGTTTTGACAAGTGTAGATATAGGCATAAACCTATTATAATTTTGTGTTTTTTGGTAATATAGCTCTTCAAATGGTTTGATTTTTATACATCCTTGCCTTCCATATATTCAGATTCTTTTAGCGTTCCTGATGAAGGCAAAACCAGGAAAGCACTTCAGACGCATGACATTTACAAAGTGTTCTACTCATTAGGCAGTTAAGCTGCCTTATGCGAGCACCCTAGATTTGTGTTCTACCCAATAAATGCTGAAATACGTGCCATTGTTATTATCCAGCTGGCTATTATGTTATTTATTACTAATTGGACATTTTTTTAATACTTTTATTTCTGGAATACAAAAAATATGACCAGAAAAACCTTAAATGATCGTCGAACTACCCAAAACTTTTGAAGTTGCACATAGGAAGTAGTGCTCAATAGAAATCCGTACGTAGTTTATTATCCCCTGTGCTTTCGGCTACGATGTTAAAGAACAATTGTATGAAATATTTCATCGCCGAAAATCGGTAATTACAAGTCGTTTATATTTCCCAAAGGGCAAAATGCGCAGGAATATTGTTCTTTTACAACAAATCTCTATGGCTGTGTTTGGATATACGCCTAAGGCAGCCTATGGTTACCCATAGGTATCTTTGGTTACCCATGGTTTGATATTTTGATATATAGAATATCAAACCAAAGGTACCTATGGATAACCATAGGCCACCTCTGGCGTATATTCAAACACAGCCTTAGTTATATAAGTGGGCGGTATTTTTTAACTTATCTTGCCAAATAAGGGCTGTGTTTGGATATACGCCTAAGGCAGCCTATGGTTACCCATAGGTATCTTTGGGTACCCATGGTTTGGTATTTTGATATATAGAATATCAAACCAAAGGTACCTATGGATAACCATAGGCCACCTCTGGCGTATATCCAAACACAGCCATAGTTGTTGTTATTTCATGAATGAAACGAGGTCATGAAAGAAATGCGGAAATCGACGTCGATGGGATGTTTTAAGTAATGTGGACAACTCGTCCCGAGACAAGTCAAACCGAATCCACTCAAACCGTCTAAGAAGACAACTTTGACCGTTTGTCAGATTTACTTAGGGTTTCATAAAATATTAGACTAACATGTCTAGCGGAGCCATTAATCTTTTGTTTGTGCATTGGGGTCTATTTAGGGGTATTTGGAGGGGCCTGAAGAAGGGAGGGGTTTACAATAGAACCCTATGGGATTTTATTTTTTTTAATTTTCAAATGACTATTTCTCGAAAACAGTAAGTAATGAGAACAGGACAATAAAAAAATCAACCAAAATATAGGGTGAGTCCCTAGGGGTCATCCCAACCCCCTTCAATTTGAAAATGTACTTTTATCTTGTAAACCGTCGAGATCCCCACCCCTAAACAATATATATACTTGTATGGGACAATAAAAGAAATCAAATGAAAATAATTTGGGGGAGTCCCCGGTGTCGTCCCACCCCCTCCTGTTTGAGAACTTGGAAATGTACGAGATCCCCACCCCTAAACCATATATATTCATGTATTGGACAATAAAACAAATCAAATGAAATATAGGGGAATTCCCTGGGGTCACCCCACCCCTCCTGTTTGAGAACTTGTAAACAGTCGAGATCCCACCCCTAAACCATATATATTCATGTATGGGACAATATAACAAATCAAATGAAATATATGGGGAGTCCCTGGAGTCACCCCAACCCCTCCTGTTTGAGAACTTGGAAATGGTTGAGATCCCCACCCCTAAACCATATACATTCATGTATGGGACAATAAAACAAATCAAATGAAATATATGGGGAGTTCCTGTGGACACCCAACCCCTCCTGTTTGAGAACTTGTAAACAGTCAAGATCCCCACCCCTAAACCATATATATTCATGTATGGGACAATATAAGGGAGCTACCATTTAATTTTTATGGGGGGGGGGGGGGGGGGGGCTAGGATGAGAAATTTTGTCCTGCTTTTTTTTTTTTTTGTAATCTCTGTCCTGCCTTTTTATATTTTACTCTATTCGGTCCTGCCTCCCCATAAAAATCAAATGGTAGCTCCCTAACAAATCAAATGAAATATATGGGGAGTTCCTCGAGTCACCCCAGCCCCTCCTGTTTGAGAACTTGGAAATGGTCGAGATCCCCACCCCTAAACCATATATATTCATGTATGGGACAATAAAACAAATCAAATGAAATATAGGGGGAGTCCATGGGGACACCCCACCCCATCCTGTTTGAGAACTTGGAAATGGTCGAGATCCCCACCCCTAAACCATATGTATTCATGTACGGGACAATATAACAAACCAAATGAAATATAGGGGGAGTCCCTAGGGTCACCCCACCCCCTCCTGTTTGAGAACTTGTAAACGGTCGAGATACTCACACCTAAACCATATTTATTCCTGTTCATCATTTCAAAAAGATTTGAATGACATACAGGGTCAATCTCCTAGGTGTCACATATGCATATCACTTTACTAGACCAAACCAATATGAACTGGACTTTGCTCAATGTAAGGAGACCATGGGAATGACGAATTATGGGGGCTTTGTTTGGGAGACTTCGTAACGGCATCCTGTTACAATTATTTCTTGTTTATTATAAAATTTTACTGATGCAAAAAATGAGTCTAGGTTAATTGAATTTACTTTAATTATTTATTAAATTATTTCTGGGCCTATAATAATTTTCATTTATAGCTCATTTTAAAGAAAACATATAAATCTTTCAAGCAGTGTAAAGCCCGGGAATGTTTGACCAACTGTTTTATAATCACCTGTCATTTTATTCCAAACTTGGTATGGAGTAACATCATGCACTTGGGGGTGAAGATGGGTGTCATTTACATTGATATATGAGTTCCTTTTGAAAACCTTGACGAAATATTAATTAATTTGCCTTAATAATCAATTGATTAATGAACATAAATGTACAATATACGAATGTTTAATGATTGTTCTTTCAAATCTTTAAAAAAAAATTGAAGCAACACTGCCACAGTTTTCATAATTACGTTTGCCTTGGCCTTTGGTTAACTGCCTACAGCGCTTACAGTGCTTTGATTTTTATTTTGTCATTGAAATTTCAAGAGGTGCACTATGCATCTGTAATAACACACACGCGAGATATATCCGGCCGTCTGAGTGGACGGTTAATTTCATATTCAGACATACAAACCATAACTGCTCCTCGAGCCTTCACCCATTTTGAATGAGTTTCTTTTTGTGGTCCAATCCATCCTCTGGCTCTAGAATCATATGTAACTTTATGTAAGGCCTGTAAGATAAAAAAAAAATAAACATACCTGTTATATAGATCCAGTATTGTTCCATTCAATTATGAAATATGTTATGTATATTTTCTGCTTTTAAATTAAAAATTTCCCAACAACAAAACTATCCCTTATCTAGATTATTTTATTACATTCGTTTGGATCTTTTGTTTGTTTAATCTTGGTTTATCAGACTAAATAAATGTTCGTATGAAAGTTATAACTGTTAAGCCAATTTAATTTGATGAATGTCAAATACCTAACAACTCCTTTTATTCAAAAATATAGTTATGTGTAGAACGTTTTGATTTGTTTTCCGTTAAAACAGATCGAGATTTAGATTGTAAAATTGAGAATGGAAATGGGGAATGTGTCAAAGGGACAACAACCCGACCAAACAACAGAAAACAGCCGAAGGACACCTATGGGTCTTCAACACAGCGAGAAAATCCCGCACCCGGAGGCGGGCTTCAGCTGGCCCCTAAACAAAAATGTGTACTAGTTCAGTGAAAATGGACGTCATACGTCAGGCGCAAAACTGCGGCGGGGTTAAACATGTTTTGTGAGACCTCAACCCTCCCCCTATACCTCAAGCCAATGTAGAATAAACAAACACACAGTAATACGCACAGTTAAAATCAGTTAAACAGAAGTCCGAGTCCGATGTCATAATAAGTAACAAAGGAAACTAAGCAAAATGGCAATGATACATAAATTAACAAAGGACTACTAGCAGTTACTGACATGAAAGCTCCAGACTTGAAAATATCCACACTCTAAAAGAAAATGGGAAAATAACACGCTTCATTAACAATGTAAAATAAACATAAGTTAGTAACCCCCATTGCTGCTGTTGTCTTTTATTTGGTTTAGAGCTGAAATGTTTTGTTTTTTCTATTGTTACCATTCATTATTACTGTTATTATCATAATTTCGGTTTTTGTTTGTTTTAGAGATTAAAACTGAGCATGCAGCGACTATTTCGTTAAATGTTTGTTTTAGAGATTAAAACTGAGCATGCAGCGACTATTTCGTTAAATGTTTGTTTTAGAGATTAAAACTGAGCATGCAGCGACTATTTCGTTAAATGTTTGTTTTAGAGATTAAAACTGAGCATGCAGCGACTATTTCGTTAAATGTTTGTTTTAGAGATTAAAACTGAACATGCAGCGACTATTTCGTTAAATATTTGTTTTATTTCTTCTTATTGCGAGGGTGTTGGCTGCACTTTGGCCAGAACCCCATCTTCTTATTGCGAGGGTGTTGGCTGCACTTTGGCCAGAACCCCATCTTCTTATTGCGAGGGTGTTGGCTGCACTTTGGCCAGAACCCATCTTCTTATTGCGAGGGTGTTGGCTGCACTTTGGCCAGAACCCATCTTCTTATTGCGAGGGTGTTGGCTGCACTTTGGCCAGAACCCCATCTTCTTATTGCGAGGGTGTTGGCTGCACTTTGGCCAGAACCCCATCTTCTTATTGCGAGGGTGTTGGCTGCACTTTGGCCAGAACCCATCTTCTTATTGCGAGGGTGTTGGCTGCACTTTGGCCAGAACCCCATCTTCTTATTGCGAGGGTGTTGGCTGCACTTTGGCCAGAACCCCATCTTCTTATTGCGAGGGTGTTGGCTGCACTTTTGCCAGAACCCCATCTTCTTAACTCGAACAATTTGATCGTTTTTTGCGTAACGTCCAGTTACAAATATGTCATACATGTTCAGGACGAAAAAATATAATATAAATAAATCAATTAACATCCTTCAGATTGTCACCAAGCATTAAAGTATCATCAGATATCAGTATTTATATTTCAGTATCTTACATATTTTCTTTCGGACTATAAATTCCTTAAAATGCAAAATGTATCACGCTGTTGTTTACAAAGCGAAAGAAGCACGTCATATTAGAATCATGTTTATAAATCTTGAAAAAATGAGAAATATTTGTATTATCAAGTATTAGTATTTATCATTTACTATTATATAGTATTAACTCTACTTTTCATTTACATATCAATCAAGTTTATGACATTTGAATAAACCGAGTATTTCTTGATCTATCAGCTAATCTAATATACACACGTCATTCTATTCTATTCTCATATACACACGTTAATTTTATCCCTCGCTAACGCTCAGGATAAAATTCGAATTTCACGGCACAGGCCATGTGTAAATGTCCAACAAATCTATGGTTTCCATGAATTATTTCTTAAATAGTACAAAGTGAAGATACTTCAGTCCAGTTAAAAGAGGACGCTTGAGACAAAATGTTTGGGAAGCAAAACACTTAAAACGTTTAAGAGCATCAAAACCAAAATGGTCAAAACATAACATCTCAAATCATTTACAGCTGCACTAACTGCGTGTGTGTTTCGTTCATTAAGATAAATTTGAATTATTTTATTAACTATAATGCTGACTTATAGCAATACTCATGTGTATTTTATTTTCGTACATTTATATTTCTATTTTCTGGACATTTATTTTGCTATATCTCGAAAATATGAAATTTATATATATTACCATTTTTGTTTTTTCAATTTTCCTATACATTTGGATATGCTCTAGATGCATGCAAAATTTCATTTAAATCCCTGAAATCGTCCATTTAGTGACTCTATGTACCTTTATAATGCATGTACATGTATACTCACTGGCTTGATTTTGACTTGATCTATAAGGTGACGTACACTTTTCCCTCCACTTGCTCGCTGTCGAAACTTTGTTGTCATTTCTGAAATTTATTTCATTATCTGGTGAATCTCGAGAATTCCTCACCCAAACCAGCACAGTCCAAGAACAAACCATAAACATCAGTTTGCAAATGCTTGACTTATCAGATCGATACGAAGCACAAAAAAACTCATTTTTTTTTTTTAAAAGAGTCAATCTTAGAGTACAAAATAGCTTGGTGTTATATTAGCGATGTTTGATAGTTATCATGCTTGCAATTTTCCAATTGGGTAATCAGTTTTCGTATATTTTTTTTTTTGGAGGGGGCGGGTAAAGCAGTGGAAACAACTTACTTTGCCTGACAGCAACTGTGCTGTTACACCACTGTCCCAGGTTAGAAGGGGGATGCCTGCAATTATGTTTATGCCCGCGACAAGTCCCAAATCAGGAGCCTGTATTTCAGTTGTTGTCGTTTGTTGTTGTATATCATTTTTGTTTTGTTTATTGTTTTGTTTATAAATCAGGCCGTTAGTTTTCTCGTTTGAATTGTTTTTCATTTGTCATTTCGGGGTCTTTAAAAGCTTACTATGTGGTGTGGATTTGCTCATTGTTGGAGGCCGTACAACGACCTATAGTTGTTAAATTCTGCGTCATTTGGTCTCTGTTGGAGAGTTGTCTCATGGGCAATCATACCAGATTTTTCTTATTTCCATACTTTTTGAACGCTATCGTTTTGGAAGAAAATAGATGAGCAAAGGCTTTTATAATGTCATTCCAACCAGAGTCGTCCTTCAGCTGTCAACAGTCAACTGAGAAAACGTTATGGTATACTTTTTTGTACATTATACTAAACAAATAACAATGACATTATCAGTAGTATTGTAAAATCCAAATCCTATAAATAGGTGGTAAAGGGTTTAAAAATTATTCAAAGATAAAATTAGGTTTAAAACGTTATACCCAAACGCGCATCTCGTCCTCTTTAGACTAATCATTGACGCTCGAATCAAAACTGGTTGAAGGCCAAACAATTACGAAGTTAAAGAGCAGAAGGACATTGAAAATAAAAAATCCAAGTATAGTTTGTACACGCCTATGTCATACTAGTGTGAATATAGTCGTCTATGACTGGGGAATACAACCTTACATTCGAATATTTTTAACAATATAGGAACAGTTTCGTACATATACTTCACAGCAACAAATGACCAAAGATATCAAACCGGCAATTATAAAAGGGAGTTCGTCTTGAACTTACAGTTAGATGAGACTCTGAGCATGACTTTGCTATGAAGAACAGCAATAAAAACGCTGTTCCTCTCCTTTTTTTTCCATGTTCATATAGTTATTTTTTTGTTTTGAAATGAAACACCTTATCTTTCGTTTTCAAACTTACTTTGCAATGTGAAAAACAAATACTTCTAATTTTAATTGAGGCGATTGACAATACATCTTAGTTGTAAAATAAGTAGATGCAGTATGATTGACATTTAGACAACTATCCACCAGTGATGGGAAGAGAATGAAGACAACTGTACAGGTGACAGTACGGCCTTCAACAATGAGCAAAACCCATACAGTAGTTTAAGCTATGAAGAGGCCCGTAAGTGATAAAATATGAAATAGTCAAAAGAGAAAAATAACGGTCTAATGTATTATAAAAACAATTTTGAAAAGTAACAAATATGAAAGACAGCAACCCCCAATAACCACTGCAGGAACTACATGATCCTGGCTTGGGACAGGTACATATAAAGAATATGGTAAAGTTTAAAATATTTGTGAGCGATCAACCCTCATCCCTTTCCTTACCGGGACATATGAGAAACAGCACATTATAAGAAAAAAATGTAAAACTCAATCAAAAAGGGGCTTGATTGGCAAATCGGCACGAAGCACAAGAAACAACTTGTGAATTGACAAAGGACACACAGCCCTACCCACAACATGAGATAATTACATTGACTCAATCTGTAACTGATTATGACGGCTTTAAAGATTTGTTTGTCTTTATTTCTTATAAAACCAAGTTAATGGTACAAAGAAAGACATTTTTACATATAGTTACATACAGATTCTGCGCATGACAAGTTTGTACAAAACGAGCATAAAAAGATGAGAGATCGATGATCAACCTGGAAACATACTTCTGTATTGATAATTCTGATTAATTTACACAAATTTTTCAAAACCCGAATATTTTTTGAAACAAATAAACTGCCGAATTTTAAAACATTTACTCGGCTTACACAGTAAGGTTGAAGAAAAGCTCTTCTACTTTCTGTTAAAGCTGTACAGGTTAGAATATAGTGAAATTCATCACCTATCTCTCGAGAATTACAAAGTACACAGTACCTTTCCTGTCTAACAATTCCAAGCCATCTACCGGTTTCTATAGGTAACCGGTGATTTCCAGTTCTAAACCTACATAAAGTTATTCTATCTTTATAAGGTAATAAGTCTAAATATTCTTCAAATTCCAAATTCTCTTTAAATTGTATATAACATAATGCTTTTGGAGAGTTTTCCAGTTCTTATTTCCAAGTCTGCTGAAATTGATCAAATATTCTCTGTTTAATGCTCAACTTTAACCATTTTGGATTAAAACTGTAATAACTCTGATTTATCCAAATATTTGAAAATCCATGTTTATTCAAGATATTTTTTATACAAATCAACCATTCAAAAGTATATCGTTGAGTTTATAAATATATCTATACAGAAAATTTGTCAATTTCTGATCAGAACCATTTGCAATGTTAGACCAAAAGGTTGCCATACGGTGTTCCACATATACTGACATAGGATAAGCGCCTAGCTCTCCATAAACCATAAAGTTTGGGGTTGATTTTTTCAAATTTAACAAAAGTTAAAGGTTATGTAAACGGACCTTTTTCAGGACTTCATACATAGCTTTGATGGCTTTACTAATGAGTTGATTTTTAGCACTAGTGAAACTACCCGTTTTGGAAAAAATAATGCCTAAATATGATATATCCTTGACAATTTCTAAATCATTACCACCAAGTGTAAAATTTAGATTGTTTGACAATCTGCCATTGCCAAAAATAACAATTTTTGTTTTAGTTGGATTAACCTTCAGTTTCCATATTTCACAGTATTTATAAAATGTATTTAGCTGATGTTGAAGATCTTGTCCAGTTTCAGAAAATAAAACAGTATCATCTGCATAAAGTAGTACATAAAGTTTCAAGTAAATGTTAATTTGTTCTTCTATTTTATTTGTCATTGAGCTTAAACCTAATACATTATTTCTATGAAAAAATTCTTCCAAGTCATTCAGATAGAAAGAAAAAAGATATATGTTCTTGCCCATAAAAATGTGAAAAATATAATTGAATACTGAAATTTTGACAGATTTTTTTCAAATTGATACGAGAGTTGAATTAAAATGCATATATCATTTCTTTCTTATGTTTTATTTTTGCTTTAATTGATAAATATCGTTTGAAACCCTGTAAAAAAAGTATTAAAATACATTAAAAAAGGATCAAAGATTAATTAAATTAGACTATTTCAAACGCAAAATTACCTTTCTTTTTGTTCCTAGTCAAAGAAAATATTCTATGTTTTCATGGCGAAATCGATTATGTCTGAATTACAATCAACTTTTATGATAGCGCATTGCCGTAAACGATTTCATAACGAATATATAAATATTAAAATACCTTGAACAAACATTACTTTGTAATATATTCATATAATGCTAATCCGTTAAAAAAGCATTGGTACTACATACATCTAAATCGATCCGTCATAAATGTCAACTTATTTTCTTCTTGAATAATATAATTACACAATTGACTTTCAATAAAATGTGGCTGATTTAATGATCATTAGATTCTGTGCCTATTTCCAATTTTCAAGGCCCATATGAAAAGCAACTAATTTGTAATACTTTTTTTTTTGTATATTTTTTTAACATTTTTTTCCCAATTATTTTTTTAACCCCCCCAATAAAGCCATGCCCCATTTTATACGGCGTGTTTATTTTATATATTAACTTCATTCTAAAAATTATGTCAATACGTTTAAATGTATGAAGGAAAAACGAACGATGTGACGAACGAACCAACGAACATACAAACATAGGGAGGATGAAAGGAAGAATGGATGGGGATTAGAACGACTTCAGTGCATCCTTTGCATGTTATTGGATCATCATCAGCAACATCAACATCAGCATCAGCTTCAACGTCGTCATCGTCAACATCATAATCATCATCTTCATTCTCATTATCATTATCATTATCATTATTATCATTATTATCATTATCACCATTATCACCATTATCATCATTATCATTATCATCATTATCATTATCATTATCATTATCATTATCATTATCATTATTATTATTATTATCTTTTTTTACCTTCATATCAGGAACGCTCAATGCCAAATATTTGAAAGCCAAGGATGTATAAGAACCGAAACAGTTGAATAGCTATACAACCCTAAAAAATAGCCAAATCCATCGAAGATCAATTTTCTCTGAGGGAGTTGAAACCTTAGCTTCTAAATAATTTCAAAATTCATAAACGGACAATTTTAGAAAGGTTTGTTACTAAACTCCGTATAATTAATTACTGGACAAAATGATTAGCTGGAAATTATAAAAAAAAATCTGCAATTTTATAGAAGTTTTCATCGCATACATATAGAAATGATATAACTACTTGATGACTGTGGTTTGACATTTGTGTGGGATAGTCGGTAGTTTTATGAGTGATACATGGCTTTATACTATGTTCAAGTGAAATCCATATGAACAGTTTCAACAGACATGTCGCAATAATGTACATTGTTGGGTACACAAATCATCAAAAGCACTCATCTATCATTTTTATAAAGAAAACTGTGAACTAAAATATGATTAACCTAAAAGTTTAGACGATATATTATTTCTTTATGTAGATTTAGAATCCTAAATTGCCAATTGAGATTGGTAGATGGAAAATATTGCAACTGCATGATTAAGAGAAAATAGAAATTGATTATTTTGTAACGGTGAGCTCGGAGATGAATTTCATTATATT